CTGCTGAGATTTGGGAAAGGCATGGAGTTCTGATGGGAGGTCGAGGTGGCCTGGGCAGTGACTGAGCTAAAATGAAATCTTTGTTGCTTTAGGGAGGGTTGTCAGTGGTGAAGGTGAGGGGGCAGTGGCAGAACTAGAGGTATAGACATCACCAGGATGCCGATTGGCACCATTTGGTTCAGCACGTGGTGGAAGGCATCCTCTGAAACCTGAAGCCACCTTGTCGCTGGCTGTGGACTGTGTGTCTGCCCGTCCTGTGAATGGAAGTGCTCATGCTTCACGGAACTTTGGCGTACTTCTGTTCGGAGCTCTGCTGGATATACATGGTTGTTTCTCTTGAATTGCAGTTTGGTCACAGTTTGCCCTCTTTTGTCCTCTTACCCTGATAAGCGGCAGATGGGCAGAGACGGCCTAACACGGAAGGGGGAGGTTCTTTGTGTTACAGCTAACAAATCCTATGATACCTACTCATATAATCATGAGTTCCTATCATCAACCCATTGACTTCCTGCATCACCAAGGAAAAGAAGAGGCACTGACTCCCCTCTCTTCTGTTTGCCTGCGTGGGGTTTCACTTTTTTATTTCTTTTTTTTTTTTCTTGAGATGAAGTCTCACTCTGTCGAGTAGCTGGGACTACAGGCGCATGCCACCACACTTGGCTCAGTTTTTGCGTTTTTAGTAAAGATGGGGTTTCACCATGTTAGCCAGGATGCTCTCAATCTACTGACCTCATGATCCACCTGCCTCGACCTCCCAAAGTGCTGGGATTATAGGTGTGAGCCACCGCAGCCGGCCCAGGGCTTCACTTTTAACCAGCCCTTCTTCCCTTCATGCTGCCTTTGTTCATATTAAACTTTGGAGGCTTCAGAGAATGCAAATCATTCTAGACCTTGACCCTGGGTCCGGCGGAAGACTGACCTGTCACTGGTCCAAACATAGTGGTTCATGAAGGGTTGTCCTTGGACCTAAGAGCATTATCAGCATCATCTGGGAACTTGTTAGGAATGGAAATTGTCAGGCCTCTTCTCTGACCTACTAAATCTGGGATTCTGGAGCCGGGACCCAGCGATCTATGCCATCCAGGAGAGTGTGGTACACACGTAACTTTGAGAACCACAGCTCAAACGAAAGCTGAAACTGTCATTGTGCTTTTTCTACCTCAGCCTCATGAGCAGCTTTCCCAAAAAGTGTCCCAAAGGATGGCTTTGAAACACATAAAGGCTCTGTAGACAGTTCAGTGATCACTGCCTTGTGAGAAGTCCCTAGACTTGGTTTTTATGTAGCTTTTCATTAAACTCAACATTTTCTAAACGGATTTGACCAAAGAATTCTTTCTTCCTTTCAAATGTTCTTGGTGCTGCCTCATTATGCCCCAGCATCTTTTCTTTTTCCCCCGACTGGAAACCTCAGTACTTCTGAGCTTCAGCTTCTATGAACCTGTCACCGAGTGGAATTCTCCAGACCTAACATTTCTACTGTGCCTTGATCACTGTCCTAGAGAAGGGTCACAGGTGATTTGTTCAGGCCACAGTGGTGAGGTGGTCAGTATGAGAGTGTAGAAAGATGGTGGACTTTGAAGGCAGCTAGACCTGGTTGGAAACCAGAATCTACCATCACTTAGCTCCACGAACTTGGGAAAGCGACCATTTTTCACAAGGTTCTTGAAAGGAGTAAATGAAGCTAGGTGTGCACACTGGATTGAGCATGAGATTTGGAGTCAGAAGACTTGGATGCAAGGGCCTCTATTTTCCATCAAGAAAACAGGAGAATAATAATAATAAACAACTTACTGCACAGCATTGACTACAATTTTAAGTAACGCGTGTAGGTGAAAGATCTTTGTAAACTACAAAATGCTGTATACAATGTTAGCTATTATTATGTCAAAAGAAAAAAAGCCATGTTTGCAGAGGCTCTGTTTCTCTGCCTGGTGCATAGTTGATGATCCAGAAACTTCAGTTCCTTTCTAATGAGCGTCACCCCTTGAGCCCCAGAGCAAGGCATAGCCCTGAGGGACCTTATTCCAGCTGACAGATAAGAGTGATTTGTAAGTGACACAGGCGTAGTTTTATGTTCCATCTTCCTCAGTATCGATTTGCTTATCAAAGATGTTATTTATAAGAAGCACAAAAATCAGTCCAAATTCTGCAGGATTTATCACAGGTTCTGAATTAATGCGGGCCAAATTTATGAGGGTTCTGAGTCGTTTCTTCTTTTTCTTACTCTTCTGTTAGTGGGTAGGGTGGGGAGGAGGTGACGGAGTTACAAAAGGGTCCCAACTCTCCCCAGGGCTGGTAACAAACCCTTGCACCCACCTTTGACCTCCCCCTTCTTCTCCCCCTGGTGAAGACGTATTTCTCCAGATAGTGGAGTTCAGTTTCTGGAGCTGTCACATGGCCTAGGAGATGGGCAGAAGCCTTAGTTCAGTTCTAATAATTCTGTTCTTTTTTTTCTTTTTTCTGAGTCGAAGCTTCACTCTGTTGCCCAGGCTGGAGTACAGTGGCGCCATCACGGCTCACTGCAACCTCCACCTCCTGGTTTCAAGCGGTTCTCCTGCCTCAGCCTCCTAAGTAGCTGGGATTACAGATGCACGCCACCACAACTGGCTAATTTTTGTATTTTATTTTGGAATTTTTTGTTTTTTTTTTGTATTTTTGTAGAGACCTGGTTTCACCATGTTGGTCAGGCTGGTCTCGAAAGCCTGACCTTGTGATCCGCCCGCCTCGGCCTCCCAAAGTGCTGGGGTTATAGGCATGAACCACTGCGCCCGGCCTAATAATTCTGTTCTATAAAAGTAAGGGTTGTGGCGACAGTATTTTATAGCAAGAATGCTCCTCCTGGAAAGCTGTGTGCTCTGAAGAAGGAGGTAACTTATTCCAGAAGGGAGGGTGTGAGGGAAACAGTGGCAAAATTCTCCTGTTCCTGATGCGCGAAGACACCACTTCTCAGAATGTGGTTCCCAAAACAGTGGCATTCGCATCGCCAGGGGACTTTGATAGAGGCGCAGACTCTTGAGCCCTATCCTGGGTCTTCTGAATCAGAAACTCTGGGAGTGGGACCCGGTACCTGTTTGAAGCTCTCCTGGCTATGCGGATGCATGCTCAGGTTTGAGATCTCGGGTGAGAGAGAGGGAAGTGGAGCTAGACTCCACTCTTCGGAGGAAGAGAGCTGAAGCCCTGAATATAAATAGTGGGTAGAGCTGAGTGCCTAAGAGGTATTCATTGAAGCCACCTGAATAAACTGAGCTTCGGTTGCTCCTCCATTTACACTAAGGCAGTGGTTCTCATTTCCGGTGGCACATTAGAATCACTAGAGAGTGTTTTAAAAATATACCTGCCTAAGCCTGGACCCCAGCCAACTGAATCAGAATCTCTGGAGTTGAGTCTGAGGGTCTGCACTTAAAAAAAAAAAAAAATTTACTTTAAGTTTCAGGATACATGTGTAGAACATGCAGGTTTGTTACATAGGTATACATGTGCCATGGTGGTTGGCTGCACCTGTCAACCCATCGTCTGGGTTTTAAGCCCCATGTGCATTAGCTATTTGTCTTAATGCTCTCCTTCTCCTCGTCCCCCTACCCAATTCCAGCACGCATCCAGGTTTGCAATCTACTGATCCAGAGAGTGGCTTGTTAGGAAAATCGTGATTTGCATTGTCTTTGTATTTTTATAATTTTTTCCATTAGGCATTTATTTTACCTATTTATATGAGACAAATTACATATTCATGTAGAAAAAAACACTTGGAAAATATAGAAAAGCTGAAAAGACAGAAGAAATAGCACTCGTGTTCCTACTATCCAAAGACATTTGTCTTTAATATGTTGGTGTGCTTTTTTTCTATCTGTGTGTGTGTGTGTGTGTATGTGTGTGTGTGCGCGCATGCGCATGCATGCACTGGTTTGAATTTTTACAGCACTGTGATTCTATTTAGTGAACCATTTCTGTCCATTTTTAAACTTCACATTATATCTGAAGTAGTTCTGTGCATTGTTATAGCTATACATACGATTTTTAATACACTCTTGTGGTAACATGAAAGAAATGGTTTTTCTCCATTTTCACATGTACATACTTTAGGAGGGCATTCAGGGAGGCCTTTCTTTCTTTACAATGCCTGTATTTCAAGCATACTGCAAAATCCCATTTTGAATGTCAGAAGTAGAACATTAACTTACGTCTCTTTGAATTTCTATCCACAATCCTAACCTGCCCTCCGTCTTTGCCTCCCCTCAAACCCACAGGTAGATATAGATATCTGCATTAGGCGGGCAGGGGATAATGTCTGCTGCAGAAAGTCAAGGAAGCGAAGCACATATATATTTTCTCAGTATTTTGTAACCACCATTCTATTTGTCAGCCTCAGCTGCTGTCGGATTTCTCTGAAGTCACAAGCTGTAGTCCCACAGGTTGTGGTGTGATTCATAAACATTAGGAAGAAAAAAACAAATGAATAATGGATGAAAGAGACAGAGGGAAGGTGAGATAAAGGAAAGAGCGTTGGGACAAATAGACTAAGGTTCTGGTGCACCTTGCGCTCAGCCAGAAATGCCAAAATCAAGCCACGTATCTCCTTTGCTCTCCTATACGTTCAATGTAATGTTCCCAGGACTTTGTTCTTTGTTGCACAGTTTTATATACATGTATGTATATATATACTTATATATATATTATATGTTATAGATCAGATGTGAATTCTGTTGTAGGGATGTGTATCCCTGTCTTCCCCTGAGTATATATATGTGTATATATACACTAATATATATACACATATATGTATATATAATTATATATGTATATGTATATATATTCAGCAATATATATAATTTTCATATATAATATATATTTTATATATATGTGTATATATATTCTTGACTGCCTCCACCTTCTGACTTAGCTGCTGGTATGCATGCCGTCACTGTTGAGTGAGGTGCAGCTGCACTTGTCTTCCATGTTGGTGTCGTGGATGCGCCAGGTAATTCTGCCCCATCTTCTTGCAGGGCATTATGGGAAGGATGCTTACCGAAGTGGAGGACCTGATCTCCATAACTTCATCTCATCTGGATTTGTCACATTAGGAAGAGGACACACCAAGGGTACAGTGGAAACCATTTTTTACTAAAATACAGAGGTGGCCTAGGGAACCCCCATCTGAAATGAGAAGATGGTGTGGAGGCCAGAGGCTTGTCTGGGACAGGAATAAGCGGGGTGGTTCCATGGCAGCTTGTCCTGGTGACATGCGTGGCTTCTGACAGGAGTTACCAGGAGATCACAGGTGTGACTTTAGAGGGCGATAGACTTCCAAGAGACACCCATCCCGCTCCACCCATGGCGGGGAGCAGGACACAGATGCCGGCGGCTCCCTGTGGGAGGGGAGTGTGGTGGAAAACACTGTCAGTGGATGTAGCAGCATTTGCAATGTGTGTGTTCGTCTCTTGGCTATTATTCCTTTTCCTTTTGAAAGCTGCATTTTATAAACTGATGTCAACGTTCTGTACTGTGGTATCTAAGCCGGTGTGCATGTGGAGAGTTTCAGCATCCTCAGTGTGTCTCCGTAAACACTGTGGGATGTGGACACAAAGGTAGAAGGTTATGCAAACCTTCAAGCCTCAAGATGAAAGCTAACCTAGAGTTTCTGCTGAGCTGCTTTACGACCTAGCTGACAGCTTGCAGAGCATCTGTGCGGGGGGCACGGACTCCTCCTCAATTCTGTCTTTTGTTTAAACAAGGTCCTACGAGTGTTGTGAGCATTCTGTCACATCAAGAGTCACTGGATCCCTAACTCCTTTGATTACCGTCCCAATACCTGTGTGCTGTTATAGATCAAATGTGAATTCTGTTGTAGGGATGGTGTATCCCTGTCTTCCCCTGAGATATGTGTCTTGTGTGAGTAAACAAGGAACTGTGCAATATTTTCTTACGTTCCATGCACCTACTTTTAAAATTCCTTATGTGATGTTTGTTCATCCTATAGAGAAAAAAAATCTGTATCTGTGTATGTATTTTCTGTTGTGTCTATTTGTGTCTAAATAAAGTTTATTGAGGATACAGGTGGCATTTGTGGCTACTAAGAGTTGCAGAATCAAACTGGGACCAGCTATCTCCAGAGTGGGAAATGCACTTCACAGTTACTCACTAAAAGATACATTCTGGGCCATAGTCAACTCAAACCTGAGATTGCTGGTCCCCACATCATCCACTTTGTGATTATTACCTAGCACTGTGAAACAATTTACTCTCAAACTTAGCATTTTAAAACAGTAATAAACATCTCTTATCTCACATGGTTCCTGTGGGTTGGGAACCTGAGTGCTTTGGGCTTGGAGTCTCATGAGGTTGCCATCACCACGTCAGGCAGGGCTGCCTCCTCTGAAGGCTTGACTAGGGCTGGAGGATCTGCCTCCAAGATGCTTCACTCACATGGTGTTGGATGTTGGCAAGAAGCTTCAGTTCCTCCCTGTGACGTTCTCTCCCTGGGTAGCTGAGTGTCTTCACTGCATGGTGCCTGGATTTCCTCAGGGTGGGTAATCAGAGAAAGAGACAGAAGACACAGCGTCTTTGATGACCAATCCTATTGGTTGCACACCATTATTTTTGCAATATCCTATTCTGAGTGGGTGTGAACTACACTGAGGCATGAATATCAGGAGCCGAGGATTGTTGGGGGCCAATGTGGAGGCCAGCTGCCACAAGCCTACAAACCTCGGAGCAGAGGTGGAAATACGGATTTCCAAACAGAATACAGCAACTCTTATGGAGGTTTCTCCACTGCCGTGGTTGCTCGCCCTTTCCCCTACCCCTTACCCTTATAGATGGTCCAACCCAAAACACCCAACACTTCAGCCAACAGAACTCTTTATACATATAATAAATATGATGGCTTTCGGTTCATGCATTCTTTCAACAAATATTTAATGAGGCCTGCTATGTGCTAAGCAATATTTAGAAGATACGGAGTTTACGGAGTTCCTTACAGAACTCACATTCCACTGGGGGAAACAGACAAAATAAATTATTGACAATAAGTACAAGGAGAAAAATTAAAGCAGGCAGCAGGGAGTGCAGTGGCAGGAAGCTGCTCTTGCCAGGGAAGGCCTCTCCAATAAGGTGGGAATTGGGGAAGTAGAAAGGAGGCCAGTCTGAGTACAGCGGGATAAAAGAGGACGAGAGTGGAAAGAGAGAGGATCCAAGCCATAGGGGAGGCAGATCATGCATTTATCCATTTGTGGATTTAAGGCTGCTTCCAAATGAACTGGACTCCATCATAGCCACATAAAGGTGATTCCCAGTCCCCATCTGTCCTTTCAGTCACTGCTGCTCGGGACATCCAGGAGACTGTCCCCTGCCCATGCCTGTGGGGCTATGCTGTGTCTGATGCTCCTTATCTCCCATCTTAACTTGTTCTGTGGCACCACCTTCCCCTCCTGTGCATGCATTGTTTGTTCTCCCCATTCACTATTTGTGCCGTATTTTTTCTCCCCATTCCCTTCTCTACCAAGGCTTCTGACACCTTCTCTTTCCAGGAATGTACCTTGTGTGTATTTCCCTATTTAGAGAACAGCTGAAGTTTCAAGAACAAAGAATCTGGGTTTGAGGGTGGTGGTGGGGGTAGTGGGTGCAGGCAGACTTTGGAAATGGAGATTCCCTTTTTTAGAGGGAGAGGGAGGGAGAGAGGGAGACAGGGTCTCACTCTGTTGCCCAGGCTGAAGTACAGTGGCACAATCATAGCTCACTATAAGCTCAAACTCCTGGGCTCTAGTGATCCTTCCATTTCAGCGTCTTGAGTAGGTCTACAGGTGCATGCTCCCATGCCCGGCTAATTTACTTTTTAAAAAAATTTTTATAGAAACAGGGTCTCACTATGTTGGCCAGGCTGGTCTCAAACTCTTGGCTTCAAGTGATCCTCCCACCTTCCCCTCCCAAAGTGCTGAGTTTATGGGACTGAGTCACTACACCGGGTCTGAACTTCCCTTCTAATGTCAGGGACTCTTTAGTCCTCTGGACAGCTTGGATCTCTGGTAAAGGGCAGAGAACCATCCTCTCTTCCTTCAGAGCAACTAAGTTCAACTCCAAGTGCTAGCTGTAAGCAACTGGCCCCATGTAAATATCCCGTGGAAGGGAACAATTCAGAAACATATAATGTGGGGTCATTTTCATTTGTATGTGTTTAATTCTCTTTGTTTTCTTTCTCTATCCTTTGTTTCAACTTCAGTAGATCCTCTTCCTTTATGCCTTTCTCCCCCTTTATCCAACATTTTCCTTAGGCCTCCTGGTGGCATCTGGCCATTGCATTGCCCCATTTTGACTCTCAGGACTAAATGGGTAGCCAATATCTGCTTTACCATTGCCCTACTAACCTGGATCACTTAATTTAATGTGTATTTCTAATCAGACTCTGATTATCCAAGAGCCAAGCATGGATGGTCCTTGTTCTAAGTGAGGGT